ACGTCCATCCCTTCGCGCCTACAGATCAAGTCGAGGGCTACCTCGAGATGATCAAGGAGCTCGAGGAAGACCTTTGCAAGATCACCGGCTTCCACGCCTGCTCGCTCCAGCCTAACTCAGGAGCGGCGGGAGAATACGCTGGCCTCTCTGTCATCCGGGCATACCACGAATCTCGTGGCGAAGGTCATCGCGACATTTGCCTTATTCCGGTCAGTGCGCACGGAACAAACCCTGCAGTGAGTCGCATTGTGCTGTTTACATTGGTCCCTAACTAAATTGCGCCGCAGTCAGCTGTTATGGCCGGATTGAAGGTCGTTCCTGTGAAGTCACTTCCCGACGGCAGCCTCGATCTCGAAGATTTGAAGGCTAAAGCGACCAAGCACAAGGACAATCTTGCCGCATTTATGATCACTTACCCGTCGACCTTTGGGGTGTTCGAAGACGGCGTCACCGATGCTTGTCGTATCATCCACGAGAACGGCGGCCAGGTCTACCTCGACGGTGCTAACCTCAACGCCCAGATCGGTCTCACCAGCCCCGCCAAGTGCGGTGGTGATGTCTGTCACATGAACTTGCATAAGACCTTTGCCATGTGAGTTGTCAAACATCTGCATATATGCGCCGCGACTGATATCGCCCTCCATAGTCCTCATGGTGGAGGCGGACCTGGAGTCGGCCCCATCTGCGTCGCCGAACACCTGGCGCCCTTCCTTCCCTCACATCCTGTGGTTCCCGTCGGCGGTGACCGGGCCATCAACGCTATCTCTGCCGCGCAGTACGGCAGCGCCTCGATCCTGCTCATCTCCTGGGCATATATCAAGATGCTCGGCGGCTCGGGCCTTTCAAACTCGACTAAGACCGCGCTCCTGAATGCGAACTACATAACGCACAGGCTCAAGGAATACTACAGTCTGCGCTACAAGAACAAGAACGGGCGCGTCGCGCACGAGCTGCTCATCGACCTCTCCGAGTTCGACAAGGCCGCAGGTCTCAAGGTCACCGACTTCGCGAAGCGTCTGCAGGACTACGGCTTCCACCCGCCCACCTGCTCGTGGCCAATCTCAACGTGCATGCTTATTGAGCCGACCGAGTCGGAGTCTCTCGAGGAGATCGACCGCTTCTGCGATGCGATGATCTCCATCCGCAAGGAGGCGGAGGACATTATCACCGGCAAGCAGCCCAAAGACAACAACCTCCTGAAGAACGCTCCCCACCCTATTCATACCCTTACATTGTCTGACGCTGAGTGGAACCGGTAAGTACTCGGGTGGATGTACTCCTGTGCGCGAACCTTACATTGTCGCGGCAGACCCTACTCTCGTCAGCAAGCTGCGTACCCTGTTCCTGGCCTGCGCGAACGTAAGTTCTGGCCGACAGTCTCTCGCATCGATGATGGTGTGTAGATTCATTTCTTTATCTTCGTCGACCACTCATCAAGTTTTCTCTCCTCTAGCGTACGGAGACTTAAACCTTATCGTGAGTCGCGTTGCTTACCAAGTCCGAGATCGTTCGCTGACATGCTGTTCACAGTGCGACTGTCCCTCCGTCGAGGAGACAGCATCTCATTAGACCTTTTTCTCGGAAGAACTCTGGGTTATGGTGTGTTTCGTGTACCCTAGGACAGGGCGTTCTATTCCTCTAGATGGCCCAGCCCAGCCCCCGATGTTTTGCTCAACCATACGCATCATCATAAACATTCTCATCGACATTGCTATCCTTACCCTCACACGCATCGCATGTTTATATCGTCATCCGTATCTTATACAATCAGCTGAATATCCATCTACTTTTGTGCCGAATATCAACGTTGTCTACACGCGTCGTCTACATACGCTGTCTAACCAATTAGCTTGGGCAGGTAGTGTTTAATACGGTCGCGAATTTCTTCTTCTCGTCTCTGGTTAGCAGCAAAATTCAAGATGATCTGCGCGATCTCCTTTGTCGGGTGCACGCCTTTCTCCTTCTCCTGCGGCATCGCGACACACAACACCTTCGTCGCCTCGTCAATCTTTCCCAGCCGACACAGGCACTCGACCCAATTCGCCCAATTCCGCTGGTTCAGCTGGAATCCCGACGCGTACACCTTCGCGAACACGTCCATCGCGAGCTCCTCCGCCCCCGCATGCGAGCACGCGTCGAGGACGACGCTCACGCTC